GTAGTAATCATCACATTTCAATGACACTGGCTACATACACTGCACAGACCTGATAGTTTTTAGGGTAATATCAGTACATATTAATTACCTAATTTGCATAATTAATTAATTTTCAGCTTTTGATATATCAAGTAGTAATCATCATATTTCAATGAGACTTGCTACATAGATCTTCTAGGATTATGCAGACACCTGATTAGTTTTAATTGGATATTAAATACCTGATTTGCATAATGTTTCACTGATATATAAAGAACCACAAATTGGATTTTAATGAAACTTTTAAAGAGAACTATGCAGAAACTCAATTAGTTTTTGGTAAATATTTATGCTTATTTATCACATAATTAACATAATTAATTAACACTGATATCTCAATTACTGATCATCACATTTGAATAAAATTTGGTACATAAATGCTCTAGGACAATAGACAGGCCTGATTAATTTTGGGTTAAAATTTGTTTATATTAATTCTCTAATTAGCATAATAATTCATAATTTTTTTGTTCTGTTCTGTTCATATAATAGTTACCTGATTTACATAATTAGTTTTCAGCTTTTCCATCAATATCTCATGTACTAGTAATTTTTAATTAATTTTTAATGTGTCTTCAATACTCTCAGCACACGGGAGTTCTTTCTAAGCTTTCTTTGATTTTAGGATTATCTTTACGTAGTTTTGCAAGACCAGATATGCAGTATGAGTTTAATTTAGTCAGTATGAAATATAAAGCCGAATTTTTTGAGTAAAAACTGAAAATTTACTCAAATTTTGTCTGTTGGTTCCAAAATTAGGGTTCATTTTCAGCAATATTGAAGAATATAAAAAAAAAAGTGCAGAAAAATTTGGACGAGTAAGTCTGGTTATTGCTATTGTACCCCATATTTGAGATTTTGATGTAAAATACAATAAAGTAATAATAAATTCTATATAAAAAATAACCAACACTAACAATACAGAGAAAAAAAATCAAGACGCTAAAATTTCTAAACATAGAAAGACTGGTTAATTTGTATTTCTGAAGCAGCTGGTTGAAAGCATTTTACTTTTAATTGAATTTTCTTAGAAGTTATAAATGTGTTTGCCACATCATTTATAATGTTTGCAAATTTTATAAAGGAGCATATATTTACATCATGGTATTTTTTACAGGAACACTCCCGCCCCCCTCATTTTATTTTTCCCCTGAAAATAAACTTGTATGTAAGTGGGAATAACATCATACATAAACGTAGTATATACACATAATTGTTTTGAGTTGTTATGAAACTCAACAATTATTTCTTGTACACAACACACCATGAACTTTTTGGTGTGGTCATTAAAAGCAAAATCTGCTTAACAAATAACCTGGGTGGCCTAGCAAAAAAACATATGCTGATCATAACTCACTTTTAAAGTTAAATGGTTATTGGACATCCTTAACATTAAATCAAATAGCACATCTTGGGTTTATGAGACTCAGTGCCCTAGCTGCTACAATGAGACCTGAGATGAGGCAGCTAGTCAATACTAAAGAAAAGTCCTTCAGATGGTGAAAGTCGACTATTGAATTAAAAAGGGGGGGCGTCACCTGCACACGTGCAAGAATTGAGACCCAAGTGATGATAATAACGCATGCGAAAAACGCAAAGGCTCATGGGTTGATGCTTGTTTGTAAACAATGACACGCTATGGCCATCTGATGCATGCGCAGGTGACGACTCCCCCACTTTAAGCCCTCTTCTAGCACATATGGTCTAGCAGGGCATCGTCCAGAATGGTCAGTATGTTAGCTTTTCTGCTGGTCTTTACTCTGCTAATGGCAAACTTTATTGCCTCAACTGTCCACCTTGCCAAGGTTTGGCAGTTTTTCTGTTTTCTGCATAGCAGAAAAACAATGAGCTATAGCTTACAGCTGAATCTTTTTGTTTTGGGCAAATATGCTTATATACGGTAGATCCAATAGGTGATTTTTCGTACCATTGCGAGATCTCGCGAGATGCATGAAAGACGCGTGTCGAATGTCTGCCGCAAAAATCGAACGATTTGATTTTGAACTAGAATTTCTTTATTTCGTAGCTCACATCGACCGGCCGATCTTCGACAGAGGAATATTGCTTCCAAATACCCTTACTTAATCGAAATTGCCTATCATCAAATGTGAACAGCACATTATTAAGCATGGAAATGTCCCCGAAATACTTTCGCGTTTGTCGAATCCCACGCGATGTTTGACGCGACTACGATGCTATGACCTTTGTTTGTCCTGTTTTTACGTTCGATTTCACGCATAACGCGTGATTCTCGCAGTGAACGGAAAATGGTCTATTTGAACACAGAAGTATGAACATTTAGCAGGGCTTTCAGATCCAATATAAAAAATAGTACCATATACGTATACATGTAGCTATCTGCATTTTGCAAAATTACTGATTCCTTAGCTCTAATTAAATGAAGGAGAGGTCAACATGGTGACATTTCCTGGTAGCTTAAAAGATTCAATGTTGTTTGAGTTGATTTTGTGCTAGATCTGTTTCCATAGAAATTCAGAAAACTTAATTAATGAAATAGCATAGTAAGCTATGTATATATTCCTGGATGATCATGCCTACAAGGCCCTTATAAAGAAGAAATAAGTACTCAGCCATTACTGGGATAAAGAGAATGGGTGTAATCCTTGCAAGTCATCAATATCTCAGTGTTTGAACCAGTGACTTTGGTACAATCGATCTGTCGTATTGCATAACTGCAGCACATTCAGCAACCAAGGCTGGAAATCCTTTCACTTGGCCCGATCACCTCCATGCAGGAAGTGGGTTCATTGGTGAAGAGGTGCAATTAAGCATCAGGGATTATCGACCAGGAGACTGATTTCAGGAAACCTTGCCCTGCTGGGCCAGTTCAGTGCTATCATAACACAACATTGTTCACTATGCAATTTGAGGAGAACTAAATATATGAGTGAGTGAAAAGGTTGGAACACATATTAGCCTCCATATGCTATTGATAGTTGTGGTTGACGTCAGAGCTATATTGCATGGTATACTCATGACATCTACACTGGTCTCTTGTGGTTCTGACGATAATTGGCAAACAGATCTATGAGCGAGTCTGACCAAAGACTGCACGGTTAATTGGTTCGCTATCGTCTGAGCAGCATTGCCACTCTGTTGCATCAAAACGATTATGATGAGACAGGGTTTTCAATTCACCCTTCAGGTGTATTAAATTGCGATCAATTCTTAGTTAATCAGATTATATGACGTAAGTTATTATATATTTATTAACCTTTTGAATGCTATCATTTTTCCTGCCACAATTTTAGTACTACATGTATGTTTTGTATGAATGTGTTTATCTAAGATTATTACTTTATTAATTGTGGACTAAAGAGACATAACTGTATGTTTCCTATATACAAGTCCTTATTAAAATTGTTTTAAAAAAAATATAGGTGAATTTTATTTTTGTATACGCAGTATGTGACAAAAGTAGACTTTGCCGCTCGAAGGGTTCATGTAAATTATTAGCTTCCAAATTCAATGATAAATTTTACAGCAGTTCTGAGAATTATTCAGACAGTCAGTTAGCAATATGTCTTGGAACTTTGCAAAACACTTGGGTCTTTTTCAATCTAGACTTGATGGCGCCATTGTATTGGTACGCCCACAATTGGGATCATTCCATTTTCTAGCTAGATGAGGGTAAAACGCTGGTTTTTTTTTCAAAACGACACGCGTTGGTTACCATACATTAATAGGTTATGTTGTATATGCATTCAAAGTGTTATTTTAAATTGGTATAACCATCTGAATCCACCTGAAATTTACAAAACAACTCCCGAGTGTTGAGTAACCCCAGATATTAATGAACCCGTCGTTGGCGGGAAGTCGCAAAGTAAAGTTTCTTAGCATTGGACACGCTGCAGTTTCGCGACAGTTGTGAGCCAAACTAAAAGTTGTTTTTTACATTATTTGTGCATTATGTATCAAATTCAGATTTTATACTGAAGTAGGAGAGTAAGTCAGGGATACATAGATAGAAAACTTGATAATAACGCTTTGGTTGACTTTGCCTTTCTTGAGCAAATCACAGCTGCAGTTTGAAAATGACGAGAGTATGACGACCGTTATTATGTCTAAATTAAGCGAGGGGTTGACATTTTTCGACAAATTTACGCAACACCCAACTTGTGATTTTTAAAATTACTGAAAATAATTACAATATAAAAAAATAAAGAATGGTTTCTGTATACTACGCACGCTAGATAATACTTGCAATTCACCATGCCAAACCACGCGCACGTCAATTAAGTGGCGCCAACAAGTCTTGATTGGGCAAAGACCAAAGTGTTTTGGTCATTTTGCTAACTGACTGTCCAAATAATTCTCAGAACGGCTGTAATTTCTCTGAAACTTAGAGTTGAACTAAACTATGGGGGAGGGGGGTTTGTTTTTCTGCTTTTGTTAGTGACTATTAATGATATAATTTGAGAAAGTTTTTTTTATTTTCCTGCCAATTATTTTATCTACGAGAGGCTTGTATAGTTTTTCTTGCCTGGGAATATCTAATTATTAATATTTTGTGCACTGAGACTGATACTTGGTAGACTGTGAATGATATATTAGGCATTTTTGGCATAGAGCAGGATTCTTTTACTGTTGATTAGGTGATCTATCATCTTTTATATGCACTGATGTCTGGTTAATTTGATAAAAGAACTCTCATCTGTATTAAAATCCTAATAGCTCAAGCTTTGGTATTCAATCAGTCACGTCACAAATATAAATGTCTGTCAGGAGGAGGGGGTATGTATAGCCAAGATTTGTCACAACTTTACACTTTTTTTTTTTAATATAAAAGTATGTACCGGTATGTATTGTGAAAAATGTCTTTCGTATAAAATACTGCTTTCTGTTTGTCACTAATATCAATGAGATTCAGGGTGTCACTAATATCAATGAGATTCAGGGTGTCACTAATATCAATGAGATTCAGGGTGTCACTAATATCAATGAGATTCAGGGTGTCACTAATATCAATGAGATTCAGGGTGTCACTAATATCAATGAGATTCAGGGTGTCACTAATATCAATGAGATTCAGGGTGTCACTAATATCAATGAGATTCAGGGTGTCACTAATATCAATGAGATTCAGGGTGTCACTAATATCAATGAGATTCAGGGTGTCACTAATATCAATGAGATTCAGGGTGTCACTAATATCAATGAGATTCAGGGTGTCACTAATATCAATGAGATTCTGTTTGTCACTAATATCAATGAGATTCAGGGTGTCACTAATATCAATGAGATTCAGGGTGTCACTAATATCAATGAGATTCAGGGTGTCACTAATATCAATGAGATTCAGGGTGTCACTAATATCAATGAGATTCAGGGTCTGCAAGTGGAAAAAGTTGGTGGCCCTGCTTAAAACTTGATAGCCAGAAATAAAGAAAAAGAAAATTGTGTTGGTTCAAAATAAAAATGAACCGTACCCTAATTTTTAATAAAATATGTAATTTTGATAAATTGTTTACTATATAATGACATATTGAACAATGTTTATCATTTCATCATTAACTTAAATTACTAAACTTTTCACAACCAGTTTCCTCTTTGCATCACAAATTCATAAAATAGTCTCGTTTCATGGTCTGCTCTTTCCTTAGATTAAGACAAAAATAGCCAAATTTGTTTAATAAAAACCGAAAATTGACTCAATTGTGTCTGTTGGCTCCAAAATTAGGGTTCATTTCTAGAAATATTGACGAGTATAAGAAAAAAGTACGGAAATATTTGGGTGAGAAAGTCTGGTGGTGAAGAGGTCAAAGGAGCAGGACTGATGGGTAGACATGTTCTGAAACTTAATTGTTTACTCCACAGTAATATAATGGTAAAAAATTATTTATTGATTTTTCTTTGAAAACTACCAGTTCAATTACTTGAGTCTTGAAATGTACAGAAATCTTTAGGTGACCTCTTGATTTGTATCCTGGTTATAACTGCAATTGCCATGGCAACCACTGCTATTGTTGTAATATGGCAAATAACCTTTATCTAATATTTCATCTTGTAAAGAACATTATCAATCAACTAAGACAGCGGGTGCTATATCGATCGTAAGGTCACTTGGTATTTTATGCGATTTAATTTCTAGACTGAAATTGAAATGGTTTGAAAATGGCCATATTATGGTCATACGAATTTCATGTAAACAAACCAATGTGTTTTAAATACATTGTATATATGACACATATCATGCTTAATGCAGCGTGACGACTACATTAACCTTTTCACCACCAGATTTTCACATCCCAAATTTGTATGCACTTTTTTTCTTCAATATTTCCGGACATGAACCCTAATTTTGGAGCAAACAGACAACATTTTTGTAAATTTTCAGTTAATAATAATAATAA